CACTTAGTAACGGTTTGCGTCTTAGCGGCTTTATTGCCTTGTTTGGGATGAAATGATTTTTTTTAAAAATCAGACATTAAAAATCGAATTTACGAAAAATAAAAAGAGAAAATAGATGACAAATGAGCAACAAAAACATAATTATAAAATAAGAACTCGTTTAGAATTTAAAAGTACGTAGAGATGAAAACCTTCCATTGTTATTATTATTATTATTATTATTATTATTAAGATTTTACGACGAGTGGCCGAAAACTGGATTGAATCTTCTAATAAAAAGATCAGTAAAAAGACGACAAAAGCCAGTAAAAGCGCTCAATTATGTTAGAGTGTTTGGTTATTTGCACCTGTAAATCTAAGAATACTGTAAATATTTACTTGTGATTCTGTTCTCGCCAAGTCCAGTACAAAAACTGGCCTAATTCGTTATGTAGGAGGTATCTGCGTGTGTGTGTTTGCCTGCGTGTGTGTGTTTGTGTGTGTGTGCACAGGATCTTGAAAAATCCAATTTGGAAGAAAATTTTTTACAGGGTGAAAAATATAAGCGTATAACGATGTGAAAAATAAAGCTTATTTTATTTTACCCCTTATAGCGAATCTCTAAGCAATAAATAGGGTCATTACGTGAAATTTATAAATATTTAATCTTATATTCACCCGATATAATGGCAAAAGACGAGGCATACAATGAGAATTGAACTCAAAGAGGAAATAGTTATTAAAACGATTCCAGTACACATTACTATCCAAGTGTGAGAAGGTCTTAATTAAAATTTACCGAAACAAACTAGTGACATAAAATTAATTTGTTTATATTAAAGAAACATATTTTAATAAAATCACAAAAAAAATTAATGTTTTTAGGTTAAACAGGCCTTTGATTTAAAAATTCTAAATAGTCATAAATACAAAATGAATCGACATAAATACTTTTTTTTAAAAAAATAGCATCTATGTTTATACTTTACAATACGACTTTTTTCATAATTAAGCATTTTTTTTTCTTTTTAAAGATTTACAAATAGCCCATGTTATGCAGCTTGAGTTTTTAGATGAAAGTGAATTAAAAATTTTCATAATCCTATTAAAAATGTTGCGTGTTCCTGCTATCGTTTGTTTACACGACCGTTACGTCCTGCCAATAACTCACTTAATAATGCGTTTTGATCATCTGAGGGGAAAAGACACTATTGGGTTTCAGAAAGAAAGAAAGAAAGAAAGAAATGTAGAGAGAGAATCCCATTAAGCTGATCAGAACATATACTACACTTTGATCTTAATATTGACATAATTACATCAATTCGGCACAAAACCGGAGAAGGTGAGTGGTGGGGTCTGGAGAAAGGGTTTGTCAAGAATAAATATACTAGAAAAGCAAAAAAAAAAAAAAAATCGCTCAATTTAAACGACGCTTTAAAATATTAACCCATTACCTTCCATAAGCCCCATTTGGGGATGTGTTAAAATTAAACTCACTACATGTTATTCCTTGTATTTACATTGAATTGCTTACATACATTGCATTTGCAACACTTAGCCTTTAAAGTTTTTATTATTAGCCGTAAGAAGACACTTTCTGTCGTAATTTTACATTTCACGAGTAGAAAAATAATGACTATTTTGAAAAGTATTTTTTTATTATTTCTAATCAATATTATTTTTTGATGTTTTATACACATATATATTTAATGTTCTAGTTTCTATAAAAATGACAATGGTAATCACTGAAATTAAACATAAGGAATAAATAAACTCCGAAGACACCTGTCTGGGTCAAAATTGCGCATAAAAAAAATTTGGTAGTTAATGGGTTAAAATTTTTAACCCATTAACTTTTTAACTTAAAAAACTAAAACATCCGGAAAATAAAAAAAATAAAAACTGTAGACATCGGAGCAATTGATAATACGAGTAAACTTGGGTCATTTTGAAGAAAATGTTATATCAAAATATCAATAATAATTAAGATATATTCCGTTTGATATAATAATAGGATATTTTCTAATAAATTTACAAAAACAATCTACATTTTGTGGTCAATAGCAAACTTGACATCTTCGCTAAAAAGTAAATTAAACGCTTTGTTAGACAGAAATAAAAGTTTTAGGAAAATCTCAAAACAAAAATGGTCGATTTATTTTTGGTTTCAACGACGAATTTGAAAAGTTTAGAAAGTTCTTTTTTTGTAACGAAAGAAGCATACAACGTCATAAATTAATAAACTTGCAAAGATACTTAGGGGACATTCATTTTATTGTCGGAGAGAATTAAAAACAATTACCAGTGATGTTTACTAAACTATTAACTCGTTATCGTGAAAGTGATGCTTTATAAATCGGTTAAAGACGAAGGGGGTCCTATTTGAAGCAACGATAATTACAGCTACTTTTGAGGATACTCTGAAGATAGATAGATAGATAGATAGATAGATAGATAGATAGATAGATAATAATGAACGATAGATTGATAGAAAGATTTGAAACAGTCAGAAGGACAAACGAACAGACAGATAAAAATAAAACAAAAACGATCCTAGAAAACTGACGGATGTCTGCTAAAAATACTTGAATTAAATTTAAATATAAACCTAAGTTACCCTATATCAGTGTCATTCATCGGTGTAAAATCATAACCAACAGTTGACGTATTTCTCCTCGGCATTATATATATATATATATATATATATATATATATATATATATATATATCCATCGATAAAACAATAAGTAGAACAAAACTTTTCGAATGAAGAAATTGTTTTATTTTGGAATTCATTTCCAAAAAAACAAAAATTTGGCTTATAATTTAGTACCGTTTTTAACACACATACACACACTCATATATACATGTATTTTTTATTAAAGACATTTTTATGTTTAACGTTCTTTTTTTTTATATTTTTTTTATATTTTATATTGTTTATTATAAACAGAGCATTTACTTAAATACTTTTATCTATAAAAAAAAGAACGTTAAACAAAAATGTCTTTAATAAAATAAATTGTCGGACTTTGTCCATTTCTTAATATATATATATATATATATATATATATATATATATATATATATACCGACATATATACTTACATATGCATACGTACATACATACATGGATATATATACACATACATATAAATGTGTCAATGTTTGTGTCTACGCGCACATGAATAGAATTGTAAGATAGATAGATAAAGGATATTTAATTTCTAAACTCATATTTTTCTGACATATGACTACTATATATATATATATATATATATATATATATATATATATATATATATATATATATATATAAATACAAATATATATGTCGCTGCATAATGTTATATTTAGCAAACCTGAGTCTAGAGTTTCTTCAGAGTTATTGTAATAATTCAGGAACTATCAGCAATTGTCTATATATATATATATATATATATATATATATATATATATATATATATATATATATATATGGTGAAGGGGCATTGTTTATTTGGACAGCTATATCTTTTTTATAAAACTTTCATCAAAGACAAATGCCAAAGTTCTGAGATTAAGTTTTTATGTATTTTTTTTCTTGTGTTCGTACAAATATTTTCTTTTCTGGGCATAAATTTAGTACAAAAATGTATCAATATTCCGTATATGTGAGCGCTTTCGGTTATTCGATTAGGCATTATCAAAAGATAAACCCGTATACGAACACAAAAAATTTAAATAAAATGCTTAATCTCAATACCTTTTCAGTCGTCTTTTATGAAATTTGTACACATATATATATATATATATATATATATATATATATATATATATATATATATATAT